TAATGAAACAGGGAGCCTTACCTACAGCCCAGTCTGTTCAGTGTCTTACTGATAGCAGGCACAACAGACTGGGAACCATATACAAATTTGCTGTCACACTTTAACTTGCTAAAATCTCCAAGCAGGTCAGCTCTCTGTCCCTGCCTGGGTGGATAAAAACTCGAAGAGTTAGACGATTTCAGCTCTTGAAATGATCTGTGAGGCTTACTTGACGAAAGAGATTTACCGAATTCTAAGTTTCCACAAACTAATATCAAGGAAGCAACGAAATATTGAAAGTTATTGAGTGCGGTTCCACAGAATTTGGTTCAGAAAGGAATTTTATCTTGATGGGGAAACATAGCCACCGAGAAGAAATCCTTTGTTGACTGAAGAGATTTCTCATCTCACTACGACGAAAATTTTAGGGAAAAATTTAGTTGATCGTGAGCCAGTAGCGTTCATCATATCGTAGTTAAAGCTAGGATGTTACAAAGAAGGTATGACAGGGTAACAAAGAAACTCAATGCTGGAGGGCTGTTTTCATTCTATCACCTTCGCTTAACATTCATTTGATACGACGGAGGAACAAGGACACTCACGAATTTATATTCAGATTTATGTTATTTTTAAGAATGATATAACAAATGAAGGAACATTTTCACTTTACTAGATCGTGGATTGACATTTACTCCATCAGTACCATTGAGGTTAATTTTAATTAGTTCTCATTGGAAATGAAGCCGTGGGTCGTGAGGCTGCCGTACTTATATGGATCTTTAAAAAAGTGCTGTAATATAATGTTAAATTCGAAACCCTAACATGCAACAAACTAAAGATATGATCTCATTAAGTTGCATAAAATGCGATGATATTTTCGAACTATGACATTTGTCCACATGCATAGAAGTAACTAGGTAATTTTCAGCATTGCTTCCAAAATGGCTAATAAGAGTGTTTGTTAAGAGGTGGGAACTGAAGCAGACCTGTGAATGAATTGCGGTTAGGTTTCTATCTATATTCGTTTTATTAAGAATATATCTTATTTTAACGTTTATCTCGCTAAGAATGTTGTATTTAGTAAATCTGGAAGTTAACTCTGAAAACTTATGCACAAAAAACAAACAAATTCCGTGGCTTTAGTCCGCAAGCGAACTATACCGACAGAGAGACCGCCGCTTGTCGGCGAAGTTAGTGTCAACTTTTGCGGATAGAGGGTGTCACGTGGTCAGCGCGACGGATCCCCACAACCGTTAATCTCGGTTTTCTAGACCGGAGCCGCTATTTCCTCGATATAGCTCCTCAGTTATTCTCACGAGGCTGAGTGGACCCCTTACCAGACCCACTGCTTCTCAGAAAATCTGGTAGCGCTTGGAATCTCTGGATCTGTAGCCAGGGACTCTGACCACTAGACCACAGAGGCGGTCGCACATACATTTTAATAAATACGAGTCTCATTTTTCATGTTATGAAAAGACAGACATCTGTAAATCTCTTCTTACAAGAACAGAATAATCAGAATCTGCCAGAGAAAAGAATGTGGTTTAAATCTTCCTTTTTGTTGTTCACCTCGAATCTGTACTGTGGAACCATATCGCTTCGACTGCAGGGAGTGAGGGTCCCGTGCAGACGAGATCTGGAAACCAATGAGCCGAGACCCTACCTGTCGAGTTACGCTATATCATCAATCAGCGGGGACCCTAGTCCCTCCACACATTCCTCTATAATGAACTCGGCTTCAAGGAGAAGAAGAAACTAAGTCTGTGTGAGCCATAGCCTCCCGAGTACTGTGATGCATCCGGATTATTCCTCTTTGTTTCCTTTCTTTCTCAGCTCCATATATTACATAGTGCCTTCTGGGAAGATCACTGTGAATTCCTTACTGAAATGGATGCAAGCTGAAGCAACAGTAGCTCATTTCAAGACATTCTCCGAGCATTTGCCTGATTCATAAATCTCTCCTTGTCGAGAATTGAAAGAGTGGCCTCAAAGTACGATGCAGGAGCGCTAACTATTCGAGTTTGTATTCATTTCCAAGACTGCTAGCACCGTGTCTACTTCCTAAAACACCCTGCTTTTTAATCCTTCGTTTATTTCAACGGCATGACTGCTTCTGTGATCTAGTGGTCAGAGTTTCTGGCTACATGTCCAGAAGTCCGGGTTCGATTCTCGGCGCTACCAGATTTTCTGAGAAGTAATGGGTCTAGAACGGGGTCCACACAGCCTCGTGAGGATAACTGAGGAGTTATTTCAATGAAATAGTGAACCGAGATTAACGGCCGTGGGCATCCGTTGCGCTGACCACGCGACACCATCTATCCACTAAAGTTGGCACTAACTTCGCCGACAAGCGGCGGTCGCTCGGTCAGTATAGTTCATTTGCTGACTACGGCCACGGAGGTTTTTTCCTATTTCCACGGCCCTGTCAGTAACTCGGACTATATGGCGTCGAACAATTTCAATGGTAGTGAATAATAAATGAGCAAGCATACAGAAGGGATCTCTCTGCCTAATTTAAGGTACAGAGCCAGAATTTGTCTGCAGGAACTAAATAAAACCAGGAAAACTTCAGACAAGGTATTTGGTGTCCTGGACGAGATGCAAACCTGACGCAACCCGTCCCCACGCCCGAAAAAAGTCAGAAGCTTTACAACTTGAACAAATCTGCAAGGTTTTGTTGTTTGTTGATTCTTACTGTTGCGAAACGCGGTCTCTCTGCGAGACGATTCAAAATGCACGAAAGCGAAGAGCAGAAGAATAAATTGGGATATTTGGGCCGCGTAGCAAGTACCGGCTTGAAGAACATGTATGATCTAGCACTAATAAAGGAGATAAGAACAGCTGCCTGAAGTGTAGATCGGGTAGCTCTTGGAAAGCAGTCACTTAACGGAGCAGAAAATGGGATGATAATATTAAAACGGATCCTAGAAAGTAGGTTATGATGATGGGAGATGACTTCCAGCTAGATCAGGTCTCATTGCCGGGAAGTTAGTTGTTCTTGTAGCAAGAATGCAGCAGATCAGAGTAGAGGCCAGGCACATGCTCACAAGAGCCGGTAAGCAACCACCTCCAGTGCTGTATGCCACCTGGAGCGACCTGGACTTACCAGTGCTCTGTAGAATTTACACTATAACAATGTGTAGGTGGGAGGCAGGGTGGTTATTACGTTTATTTATAACTCAGCGTGAAAAACGTTCATTATTTTCTGTAACTTTTTCGAAGTAAGAGGTTTCTGACTTAATTCAGGTAGGAGCACAATAGACCATTGAAGGTCGCAGTGCTAGGGCCAGTTTCATGGCTCACTCCTCATACTCATATTCATAATTCAGGTAGACTGATCACAAAAATGACAGCCAAAAAGTTGCACAAAAGCACAGTTTTCTAGTAATCTTCTGTGATTTCGGATGCAAAGACATGGGTCTATGCGAGTACCCTGAACATATTGCGTAATTCGAAATTATGGCGTTATTTATATGGGACTGTATGCCGTTTCACTAATAATATATCGTATTATCACACTATGGTTGACACAAATTATAACTCCAGGAGCAAAATACAAAGCTGATAGATGTGCTGTTTTCTTTCTAACTTCCGTGTACAAAATTCTGACGTGATGGCATATATTTGTGTCCATGTTATGAATAAACTTGTCAGGATTAATTTAAAAATTAATGGTCTTTATGTTAACATAATCTTATTTACTCACTCATTCATGGAGCCGAGCCCTTCTTGAAAAGCAGCCAACTGTGCAGCTATTCAACTTCTCAGCATTTATGGAACCCGAATATATATTACCGTGTTCACAAAAGCCCTCCACTGGTCCTATCCCGAACCAGATTAATCCAATCCATACCATCCAATCCTATATCTCTAAGATGATTTTAATATTGTACACCCATCTACTTCTTGGTCTTCCCAGTGGTCTCTTTCCTTTCGGCTTTCCCACCAATATCCGATATGTATTCCTCTTCTTCCCATTCGTGCTACATGCCCTGCCCGTCTCATCCTCCTTGACCTGATCATGTTAATTATACTTGGAGAAGAGTACAAGTTATGAAGCACCTCATTATGCAGTTTTCTCCAACCTCCTGTCACTTTATCCCTCTTCAGTCGAAATATTCTCAACACCCTGTTCTCAAACACCCTCAGTCTATGATAAGAAATCGTAAAACTTTCCAAGGAGCAAATGAAACATGAATTACTTTACTATCATGTAAAAGAAACGTAATTACAAAGGAGCCAACTATGGGAGAACTGTACTTCAGTTTCGGGTGGAGAAGACATCTTCCAAATGTGTGAGTTGGATGAGCAAATGCCGCTCGCCGAAATTATGCGGTCCTGCGGCATTGACGCATAACTAACAGCTTCAGAATTTGTATTCTTCGCCTACTAATGTATGGGTGTTCAAATGCTGACTGGAATATAAAGCACATATGAAGCAAGTTTGGATACGAGTAGAAAACTCTGGCCGGGAAACCCCAGGATAATATCTCGATCAAAATTCATCGGCCCTTAATGAGTGAACTGAAGAAATCAAGTTTCTACGCCTTGCCAATCAGTGAGTTTATTTAGGAAGACTTTGAACCGTACAGAAAGTTGCAGGTCAGTGTTAGCACTCTGTTTCTTATTCAGGTGGTCTGAGGTTCAAAACTTCGCCCGCACGCCAGTCATCTCGAGTGTTTTCGTGTCTTCCTCAGTCTTTTTAGGCTTGAAGAGTCCATGACCGTTTCATTCGATTAAGTAAAGAGAACTCTATCAATGAATCCAACCATCAAGTTTTTCATGACTTGTAAGGTTTAGTGGGTTGGGAACTTACTCCTTTCAGCCACCTCATAAAATCCGGACGTTTTATTGGTCCTTTCTTCGAAATTCATCCTTGTTTAAGACGAAAACATTCACAAATCATTTGCTTCATACCTGTAATTATTGAACCCGTCAAGCAGTAATGGTGACGTAGGGGAACCCCCCTCTGCTCCGCAGCCGGCAGTGCTAGTGGGTAACGTGGGAGAGAAGTCAGTTCATGTGAGGTTGTGCACGGGTACAGACGGACAGAGCAAGCAATTCCACTTAACTTGGACATCGGCGACTCTCCAGGTATGTAGGACAGTAGGTCCAACGCTGACTTGTTTTCATTAATTGTGGGAAACAGCCACATAATCCGTTAAAACGCTATCAGAATAGCAGGAAGCCTGTACGCGCGGGACCTTTCTCACTCATACAGATTTGTCTTCTGTCTAAATGCACAAATATTAAGACACATATGCACGCGTAACTACAGAACAATATTACGTAGTGACTTCACAATTGTTACGTTTCTCTTAATATTGTTAGGGTGACTGAAAGAGGAAGAATCTCTCCTTAGGGATGTAATGCATTCCATGATCCTAAGAAGAACCATAAAGAATATGAGAGACTTAAAACACCCAGGTTTCAATGGGGGATACTATTAAAATGAATTTTCGAGAAATGCTATGTGAAGTTGTGAGTTGGATTGAGGTGGCTCAGGACGGAGTCCAGTAGCGAAATTTCCCGAACAAATCAAATGATATCCTAATTGATTATAAATGAAAAATATTCAAAATGTTTATAGTTAACTAGAGAAGAAACTACATGAAGAAAGTCGTCTTCTGGGATCTGGCGCCGTGTATTCTTGGTTTTAACCGACGTTTCGGAGGAACGTATCGCCTCCATCTTCAGGGCAGGTAAATCGCGATGCGAATACAGAGAGCAGTAGCTGCAATGATTCGGTAGTGAAGAGCGTTAGTTCTCCATGGAAGCAAGAAATTTCTTTATCAGAAAATTACTTATGTCAGATTCTTAGGTAATTTAAAGACGCTGTTTCATTTTCAATAATTATATAACACTGAAATGTGGCAAGATTATTATTATGGTGAATAGATAGGGATTTGTAAGGCGCCAGAATTTGCATAATACATGACATTATTCCAGTATTCGCCTGGAGAGAGTGAGAAAAACGACTAAAACTTAATGGTCCGACCGTTATTCGAAGAGGGTACCTCCTGAGTACAAGTCTGGAATGCCACTGCTGTGTCACCTTCCTCAGTTATAAAATGGAGTTAGACAATGCTACATCAGAGTCCTTCCGGAGAACATTTAAATTACCCAGCTGCTCAAGAAGTATCTTGCCTCTTATGGAAACCAAATGTTCATTATTTTGTCCAGAAGGGCCCACCGGTGGAATCTGTTCTGAACAAGACGAATCCAGTCCACGTGTTCATATCCTATTTCTTTACTCTTCACTTCAATATTAGATTCTTATATAAGCCTCTGTTTCACAAGTGACGTCTTTCATTCAATTACCCATTAAAATTGTGTACTTATTTCTCGTTTCTCCTACGTCCTGTTATCTCTCTTCTCCCTAATTTTATAGTCTTGATGATATACAGTAAAGAGTACAAGTTATGAGTGAGTGAGTAGCTTCACGCCCCTCCCGCTTTACTCCGGGGGAAAGACCCCCCCCCCGGTATCCACTGGATACGAGGTTGGGTGAACCCCAGAGCCGTTCTTAACGACACGGGGAAGTGAAAATTCCTGCCCCCACCGGGAATCGAACTCCGACCCTTTGGTCGTCCAGCCAATAGACAGTCGCTATACCGACTACGCTAACCCGGCTCTTGTTAAAGCAGTATAGTGTTTAATATTCAGATCCGTTACCAAAACCTTCATGAAATTTTATAGATAATTTTTATTTCCATAACGGCTTTAATTTATAATAAATTGTAGTTTATTTAGGAGACGACAATAACGAAAGAGCCGGCCACGGTAACCCAGCGGTCTAAGGCGTGCACTGTCTTCGCTCGTTCGGAAGCCGGGATCGTGGATTCGAATCCCACTCAGGGCATGGATGTTTGTGTGCATTTTTCTGTGTTTGTGTACAGGTAGAGGCCTTGCGACGACCTGATCACCTGCTCAAGGAGTCCTACCTTATGTCTAAGATCTAGAAAAACCGAAGTGAACGGAGAAGTTCATGGAGGTAGGCCTAGGCCCACTGGGGCTGTAGTGACAAGGGGGGAAAAAGAAATAACGAAAGAACCTGGTTCTCAAGTGGCTGCTTAGAGACACACTGTGACACTTAAAATTACACTTTCCATGGTTGTGAAATGTAATTATCGGCAGGAGATGCGCTTGCTTGTCTCAACGCATGGCAAAGCTGCTGCAACATTTTCACTGCAAGCATCAGGCAACAGATCAAATAATCAAAGTGACATCTTCACTCCATGAGCAAACCGTGTAGTTCCAAATCTTGTTAACAATTTTTATGGCCGTGTTTTGAGACTGACGCTATTCCTGAGACCTGAATCAGTAATGCGGGCTGGAGAACAGGGATTCGATTACCGATAGAACGACGCTTTTCCCCGTCGCGACTTCGTCCGGACAAGACACCGGACTCACCCAACCTCCAACCCAGGGGTACTTATAGTTCCATTCCCAGTAGTAATGCAGTCAGAGCGTCAAGCTGTTCATTTACCGCCCTTCAATGCTGAGTTTAAGGATGCGTCCAATCGTCATTTAATCCTTTATGACATATGCATTGGCACAATTAAATCCCAGCGCTCAGCATTCCACGTCCAAATTTATGGCATGTATAAAATCGAAGAAAACACTACGATAGTATTTAAAACTTTTCAGACCGAATGTGTTTACGTAATACATAAAATAGTTCGTACGTCATACGAAAAACATGTTTCTGCTACAAAAACCGGAGAATTAATTCTCTTTAGGGAAAGAATCCCTGTTTTTGTGAGAACCATAAGAAACACACAAAGACACCCTGTGAACAGAATGCAGAATTTTCGTGTGTTAAAGCAGGTGGTACATATGGAACAACTTGATTTTGAATGGTTAATAACCAATAGCGGAAAGCCTACAAAAAGTTGTCCTCCAACATGGGAAGTTGGGGAATGAGACTAAAAAACCTACTTGTAAAACATCAGTATGCTGCAATTACAATAAGCAGGATGCCCTTGGATGTCATGTGATGAATCTTCGGTTCGCTAAAAACAAGGAATTTCTTGAGCTCTTGTATAACTTTGAATTCCTCAAGGAAGACCGTGTCATACGGTTCTGCTGGATAAAGTAACAAATATAAAATCTCGTCACAATAAACTGAAAGTTGTGACAACGATTTGCATAATTTTTAAAGCCACTTATCACAGTTAACTACTACTCAAATCTCCTAGCGACTCTATAACACGTCAACTCTGTCACTGTAAATTATTTAACTTTGTTAATATACCACACTTCACAACATTATAAGACACTTGTACGATGTAAATATATTGTATGCTCTAATTACTTGTAAAAGTAAAGTACAGCTATCCCTGTAACAGGCCGCGAAGGCCCATAGGGTTGTGAGACGTTGAGGGTCCCACATTATCTAGACAATCGGCTCAAAGATGACAGTAAGGTTGTCAGCCCTACGTGCCGACCGCGCTTTACTCCCCAGGAAAATTATTTAATTAATTCCTGGTACTCATTTCTGTTGGAGGCTGAGTAAACCCCAGGCTGGAAGGATTAGGTCAACTGAAAAAAATCCAATGGCCTCATCGGGATTTGAACTCGCCACCTTCCGGCTTGTAACCTAGCACCTCAACCACTACGCTACCTCGTGCCACCCTAATTACTTGTATTAAAGATAAAATTATATTTCTTTGGTGCGAAGCAAACTTAAAGAATGCTTACAGATGCAGTTCCTTCCTACAAGAAAATGACACACATCCTTTTAAAAAGTTCAGTCTATTGTTGACGTTTAGGAAGAGAGTTTAGTTTTATTTTAAGAGACAAAGCAAGTGGAGTATTCTATATGTGAAATGCGAAAATATCGAATGCAAAAGGAGGCGGTACAAATAATTACCATACCTACGTGAAGAATTGACATAGACATTTACGCCTTCTTGCGGTGCACGGAGATCAGGGCCAGTTAGACTCATGAGTCTTACCTCCACATCGCAATTAATGGAGAAGTGATTACGAAACAAGATAGCCGTTCCTGTTCGGCCAAGGACGACATTTTCAGCAAGATCGGAAGCGTCTCTGTGCCACAGTTGTGCAAACTAACAGCCTCAAGCGGCAACTTAGACCGTTGGAGGCAACCAGCTTCATATGATGCACAGATTCAACACACCGAAGCACACAGCGCACCTAAATAATCGACAAGTGTCCATCAGTTCTCTGTCTGATTTTAATTCCTTTTATTGAGCACTTGCAGATGAAATTAAGAACCCAAACTCGGTAAACTTCTAAGCCTACATATAAACGGTCATTACTAAGTAACCGTAAATATAGAAAATGTAGATTCTAATAGCAGGGCCGTTTATACATATTTGTCTACGTTGCCGATTTCTACACGGCTAGTTGGGAAGAAAAATGGCGAAAGTCTAATTGTTTCCACCAGCGCATGAATAAATTCTTCTACAACAATTTTCAGTTACGGCAGCTCAAAAGTATATGCGACATAATTTTATTTTAGAAATCGAAATTCGACAGGGGCACTCGGTGGCGTAGTTGATTCAGGTACTATGCTACACTCCGAAAGGTCGCGGGTTCGATTCCCAATGACTTCATTGCATTTTTCAGTTGATCTAATCATTCCAACCGCACTGCGACCATGGGGTGGACTCAGCCTCTAACAGAAATGAGTACCATGAATCTTCCTGTGGTTAAAGGGCGGCCTGCGTGTAGGGCTGACAACCTCACCGCCATCTGTGAGCGGATTCTCTGGAAAATGTGGGAACCTCGACGTTTCACAATCCTATGGGTTTCCATGGCTTGTTACAGGATAGATATTTTTTCGAACTCAAAATTCGACATAAGAACCAAGCAGGACAGTGCAGCGGTAACGCTGTGGACATCTCCGTCTGGACACGGGATGTCCTGACTGGAGGATTTCGTCCTTTTCCTCAGACTCTCTTGGTAAGTTCAGGAATAGCACATGGGTGAGACCACGATCGCCTCCTTCCTGATGCATTCCAATTGATCTCTTATCAGTCATTTTTCCATTCCATGTTATATAATCTACATACTGACAGCGTCGCAGAAGAACCACAAAGGAAATATAAAAATGGAATAGAATA